GGCACACTTCTAGGTTTAGTAAAAGGAGGTGCAAGCCGACTGACTGACTACGTCACGCAAGGCTACAGCAGTGAAAGCTAACAGCACTTTTACACCTTTCGTCGCAACCAACTGTTCACCACGCGCTTGTCACGCAATGCAAGTCTTGAGCCAGAGTGAAACGGGGCGCAGACAGAGACTTCAGCACACTCACTTCCGCGGTAAGTCCTAAGGACTCCTAACGGCTTCTCTGCACTGGTAACTCTATGGCCCAGGTGCTCCCCGGACTTCGTCTAGAAGTCCGTTCTCACAGCAAACAAACTGAAAACACTCTGATGTTCATCATGCTTCAGGGAAACACCGTTGTTCGTGAAAACTCGTGAGGAAAACTCCGGTTGGACACGCTTCTGGTAATGATCACTTTCACCGCAAGGTGAGATAGGAAGCGTGAGCGCAGCGACCGACAGACAGACAACTTTTCCCTACTCCTACCGTTCACAACTACACCTAAGGTTCTCTAAAACTCACAAAGAAGAAAACAGAAAGTGTTCCTGACCTTGGCGAGACACAGGGGCACCATTATAGGATTGAAAATCAACTGAAAGCTTGGCTACTCGGAGAGCCACATCAAAGGCTTCGGCTTGGGTGGCGCTGAAAGGATCCCTCTGGACCCCGGATCGGAGCAGGAGCGCTCCCTCCCGCCCATCACTCTAGACAACGTTTCGAATGTGGTCTGAGAAAGAACGTGGGAGACAAGACTGCCCACGTGTTCTTGGCCAAGATGGAGGTGGCCTGGTCCTCAGCTCCGTTGACCAGCCGTTTGCTTCTCATCACGAGGGGCACAGCTCATCCTGAACGAGCCCCTCTAGCACCTCCATGAGGCCTGGCTGAAGGACCGGATCGAGTTCTGCAAGAGGGTGGAGCACGGCGGCCCCTCGCGATCATCTCCGGACGCGCGCCGTAGCACCAGGTCACAAAACTGAGCAAGAACAATCAAGACGTCGACATGGCCTTCCACTGCACGCTTCAGCAACTCAGTGGGGCCTGGGATACCAAGGATGCCATACACCTCTTCATTGGTGGTGTGCGTTATGTGCCGAGGGGAGCGAATGGCGCGTAGATGTGAGCACGCTGCGCAGCCTGGAGAACTGGTTTTTAAGCAGCCGCAAGCCTATGCCTTACCGTCAAAGTCTCGAAGTCATGAAATGAGATGATGCATTCATGGGACTTCTTCACCGGTATTCGCAGTGGTTTGTCGCACAGGAAGCTGAGAACAAGGCCTGTCGCAGTTTTTGTGAAAACACAGCAGCAGCGCGCTGAACCCTCTTTTTCTCACGGCTTGAGCCAAAGTCAGCAGCCGGAGGCTTTGTCTGTGCAACTGGCCACAGATATTCCATGTGCCATAGCACTGCAAGTGAAACACTGCTCAGCCACGTGTTCTCCACAACTGCAAAACAAACTCAAACGTCAGTGGGAGTTCTCGGGACCTACTCAAAACTAGTGCAAGCAGAACTACAGCTACACAGTCACTCCAAACGTAGTTACACCAAGGAAAAACACTTCCCTACACTCTCAAGCACTTCAAAAGGCTTTCCACTGAAAGCAAGCTCGTCAGTCAAGCCTCCAAGGCAAAACTTTCAGCTAAAACGACTCACACCTGAGCAGGCATGCAGGACAACCAAAGTAACATGTCTTAAACATGAACTTTCACACCCCCGCTTGGACTGTAATGCCTCAGCGCAACAGTGTAAGCACAGCTCTTTAGGCTAAGTGCTCTGTTCGTCATCCTCGGCACACGTCCGCACGGCAGTCCCTTCTACGGCTACTTTCAAGACTCGCTTAGCAGCACGCAAAAGAGCCCTACCTAGCTTGGTGGGGTAGTAACCGGTTGCCTCAAGACTTTCAGGAGCAACATGCACATGATTCTTGTCACAAGATTTCCCGGAGAAGATTTCACACCACTCCGAACAGTTGCAGGCAAACCACCATCTCTTATAGACCAAATCAAAAGCACATCGGTCTACTTCTCGTCCAAAGGATAGGCCAAGGGACTTCTTCACTCTTTGGTACGTTTCTTCCTTCCAAAGTCCACAGGTCTTTGGCCACTCCTGACTCAGCAGGACGTCCTGGCAGTGGTTCTGCAACAGCTTTCCTAGCGTTTTCCACGAAGCAACATGCTTCTTCATCTGCTCACGCCAGCGATGGCGAAACTTCGGTTTGTGCCAGTTCTTAAACCGAAAACTACAACCGGCAGTACACGGCGACGCTACATGGATATAGATCTTGGGCGGATTTCGTTTCAACAGACAGAGCAGAACTTCTCCTAAAAACAACTGTGTGTTCTTACTCAAGAAGTCTTCTTCCTGAGTGATGCCAATGTAAGCAACGCTCTCACGCTTGCACGCTGCACACAACGCACTATCACGGGCACAGAACAGCTCAACCACCAGCAAAGGAACAACCCCCATAGCCAAATCAACGGCTACTGGACGGTAAGTTCTCCGGAAGCTCTTCAAGCTTCTCGTGGAGGTTCTCAAGTTCCTCCACTCTCTCTCGAAGTGGTTCAGGGACACACAGTGTCTGCAAGTCTTCCTCACAGATCCGCTCAAGTCCACAAGCCTCCAGCAGATGCTGGAGCATAGCTTCTTCAGGACTCTTTGTGAGTCCGTCGCTCGGATTCAGGCATCCTTGGATGAATGTGAGACGCAGTCTCTCACTTTGAACAAGCTCTTGCAAGTACCGATGCCTCAGCTCCAAATGCCGCACTCGACGCAGCAGGCCTTTCATCTTCGAAATAGACAATGCCGCTTCACTGTCAGACGACAGGTAAATGGGATACGATCCCGTGTCACCGGCAGGCAGGCCTTGAAGGAGCGTTTCCAACAGCAGGGACAGGTACACAGCTTCCTTGGCAGCTTCAGTAAGCGCGGCCAGCTCTGCTTCAGCTGAGCTTAAGGCAGTCACTGACTGCTTCCTTGAGAAGCACTTGATCATCATGCCAGGCCAAAGGACAATGGCACCAGACACTGAACACACGTTCCACGAGGCATCCACATACCCCGAAAGCAAGGTCTCCGACTCAAAACTCTGGTCGACCCAGCCAAACGCAGAGAAGCGCTGAAGGTACTCAGGCAACGCCATCACCCAACGCACAACTCTTCTTAAACAGGCTTCGGCTTGGCTGTCAGGATCACTCTGAAAACGACCTAGAAACCCAACAGGATAAGCTAGGTGAGGAAGCGTGAGACTGGCCCACATGAGCTTCCCAAGCACACGTCGATACCTTTCGTACGACTCAGTGCTTATTGAACCTCCAGGTTCCTTCTTCCGGTACTCCCTCTCAAGGTTTCCCAAAACAGGCTTAACACCTTTTCCGCTGATCCCAAACTCTTCACCAAGCGACTTCAAGTAGCCCGGTTTCAAGCCGAACAACACAGGTCCAGCGTCCGTCACACGGACGATAATTCTTCCTAGAAACTCAAGTTGCCCTTTCTTTCCAGGCTCCAAGATCCCAGTCTGCTTCATTTTGTAAATCTTGGCCAACTGAGCATACAGCTCCTTTGCAATCTTTGAGTTCTGGGAGAAGATGATCAAGTCATCAACATACACCAGCACCAAGGTCAAAGAACCGTCCTTCTCGAGACGGTGGTGCACAGTAGGGTCCGCAGTTTCTCCAAACCCAAACTGCCCACGCAACGTGTTGGTGAACTCCAAGTACCAACTCAACGGCCCAACCCGCAAGCCATTCATGGCTTTGTGTAACTGAGCAAAAAGCGGATTGCCCTGATCGTCATACATCCCATTCGGAAAACGGATGCACTCAACACCTTGGACAGGCGCCTGCATGAAGGCTACCGAAACATCGGCAGACAACAGCGTTCCTCCACGAACCGCGTGCACAGCAAGGACACCTCGCAAAGCTTCCAAGGAGGTCGTAGGGGAATAGATCCCGTCAGCCAAGGGGCTGGATCCAAGCGCATAGTCACGCACAACCAAACGCGCTCTCACACGGTCAGGGTTTGTCACAGAGGGTTTGGAAGTTAGAACCCAACGAGTGGTGTGGATCCTTCGCACGGCCTTCTTCCGGGCCTCAGCTTCTCCAATCACGGTTGCCACACCAAAGGCATCTAACTCCGACAGCTCAAGCTTCATCCCTTCTTCGAGATGTTTCCTAGCGAGAACCTTCCCTGAAACCTCACAAACCGCGTTATCTGGGACATGTACCCAGATCTTTCTACCTCCAAACTTCATGCTAAACCACTCAGCAGGATTATCTCCCCTCCTCAGCTTCTGGGTCACACGAAGGTCCGGCCCATCGTAGAGCTGGCGAAGACCATACTCATAGAGCCAAGTAAGACCATCTTCCATGATGTTATCTTCACCATCACTCATCTCAACATCATCCTCATCAAGGACGCCACCAGGAGGAGGTTCAACATCCATCCCTTCACCATCACCATCACCAGGAAGAGAAGGTGAGTAGTCTGCTAGATCCTCATCCTCCATCGGATCAGGAGCTCCAGGCTCTTCTGATTGTCCCACAGGGAACTCAAGACTACCATCAGGCAACGCCGGAGGGTCAGGAGGAGGCTGAGGTGCATCCAGAGGCACATCAAACTTGATGGGTCGCTCGGGGTCCTCCCGGTTTCCTTTCAGTTGGTCTAGCACTGCTTTGTCAAACTCTACCGGGTCCCGGGCACGAAACGAGCTGAAAATCTCCAAACGAGGCGGCTTCCCATCTCCTAAGGGAACAAAGACACGTATCCCAGAGCCGTTGGCGCCATGGGGCCCAACGTAAATCGCCCTCACTAGGCGCTTTCCTCGATGCTCCGGATAGTCCTTTTGTGGCTTTCCAAAGCCTACCACCCCAAACTCACAACTCTTCACAGCTTGGACTGTAGAGCCCCTGAGGCGTTCCAGAGGCGTGCTTTGCTCCTTGGACACATGAAACAAGTTATGCATCCTAACAGCATACCGCATGGCTTCAATAAACAAGTAGCTCCCTAACGGCAGCTGCCCTCCTACACGCTCTTCCAGTCCTGCCAAACAGACCAAAACGCTTCTTTCACGAGGCAAACGTTACGCTCAACAATGCCTTTTGCCTGGGGCCTGTTCACTGCAAACGGAACCCAATGCATGGACCGTCCTACAAACGTCCTATGCTTCGCAGAATCCCGGAACACACTCTCCAGGAGGTTTTCTTGGTCACCGTGGACCACAATGTCCAGCCCGTTGAGGCCCATCTCAGAAAGAGCCTTGCAAACGGCTGGTACAGGCACCGGGTCCTCAGGACCCAAAACAACAGTACTCAAGTATCCCGACAGGACGTGAACGATCAACAGAAACCGAACATTTCGACCGAAGAAGCCAAAATCTACTTGAAGCTCTCCCGGCGCATAGTGGCTCTTCATGTTCTTGCGTCGTGCTGGCACACGACCACGTGCCGACTGGCACACATCACAGAAACTCAGATAGGGCTGATGCCCTTTGTTCCGGTGCGCTCGCAAACGCTCTGAAGTAATGTATACTGGAACCTCAAGGTCTTCAGGAGGAGACAAACCTGAACCAGACGGCTCGGGACGAGGTTCGGGGTCCGGAGGGCCGGGAGGTTGAGGCTTCGGGTCGGGGTCTGGCAACAACTCTTCTTCAGAATCAACAGTGATCTCAACCGGCAGGCCTGCAAGCACACGCGCCCTATGCACAACACGCTCGGACACAACATCCTCAAGCACAACATGTGGGGCCTCAGGAATCCGCGGTGCTTCTTCATTGTGCTGCCCACGCAAGGCAGCAACTTTCTTACGCACTTTGCGGACCAAGCACAACAACCTTCTCATCATCGGCCGTTGGACTCTCCAAGGGAAACACCGACGGGGATTCCGACCTTTCAAAGTTACTCGCACCCACTTGTGTCTCCTACGGCTTCCGAACCGCAGCTTCCTACGACCCCCGCTTCGACGCACTACCACAGCTACAGCACAGACTGCCAGCAGCACGCAAAAGCGAAACCCCGCAACCTTTGAAATAACCCTGAACAAGGCTGCGGCACACGATCTTTCTAAGGAACACCTGGGCAGAGCGAGACACTTTGTGGATCCATTCGGGTAGGGCGTAGCTTCGGGAACACTCAAGCAACACGCACCTACCGCTTCGGCACTGCACTCTAGACGTTCTACAGCTTCGGCACTGCACTCTAGACTGCCTACCACTTTGGCACCGCACTCTTGCACCTTTTTCGGGGAAGACACCGAAGAGCTCACTTTGAGGATGACGGGCCTCGAACCTAAGGTTGAGGCCAAAACCTCAGAAGAAACACACCGCCTCAGATCGAAGGTGATCGATCTCTCTTCTTTGGCGTAGGGGCTAGAGTTGCCCTTGCTGTTGGCCGTGGTGCTTTTGACGGCCTGGCTGAAGGTCTCACTGTAGGGCGGGGCGGTGGAGTTTGAGGCACAACCGACACACTCGGAGTGATGGGCGTCACATGCTGGCCCACAGCTCCAAACACCTGGCGCAACGGCCCGGTGGACCACGGATTGAAAATGCCTCGGTATCCTGGCGGTGGTGCTGGAGGCACTGGTCCCATGTACCCCAAGAAGGGCGGCGCCGGCGGGAACATGTGCATCTTCCCAACAACCTGCGGTGCTTGTGGTACAGGGCCCATTGGCCCAACCATCGGCGGCGCTGGAGGTCCCATGTGCCCAACATCCGGCACCTGCCCCACCTTGGGCATCGCCTTCACTTGAACAGCTCGCAGCCGCTTGAGCAACAGGCCCCGCAGCAGCTGGAGCAACAAGGCTCACAGCAGCTTGAGAAGCAGGGCTCTCCGGAACCTTGGGCATCGCTTTCACCAAAGGTGATCGTTGGGGTGTCTTTGGAACCGCAGATCCGGGCGACACCGGCGTTGTCGCAGGCGTTCCTGGAGGAGTGATAGCTTCCACACTCGAAGACGACAGGCTGATCCGCCTGCTGGCTGGTAACTCCGGAGGAGTCCCAGACTCTACGGCTCCCTCGGGGGCCGCTGAACTCTCGGGGGCACCAAGGGCATCCCCAAGTTGTAACTCCAAAGTCAGCAAACGAACTGTAGCAGCGGCTTGCTCCTGAGCAAGCAGGGCTGCTTGGAGCTCTGCCTCCTTGCGTGCCCTCTGTTGGGGCGTCCACTTCTCGACAGCCACATTGGCGGCTGCCTTCGCCGCTGCCGACGCTCGCTCCTTCTCCGCCAAGTTCTTGCTGGCGGCAACCATCTTGAGCTCTTGCTCCCTCAGCAAAGCCACTCCTTCGGCGGCCTTGTCTCTCTCGCCCTCGTTGTGGTCCTTCTTGTCCTCGGCGACCTGGTCCTTTTCTCGTGCACGGCGCTCCTTGGAGCCTTTCTTCTTCTCCTTCTTCTTGTCCTTCTTCTTCTTCTCCCAAGAAGTCTCCGGTGGTGTCTCGGGCGGCGTCTCCGGGGGTCCAGGCGGCACCACAGGCGTCCCCGGTGGAGGCGGGCTCGCAGGAGGGCCTGGCACCGCCTTCCATTTCCCCCAATCGTCGGCCTCGTTGCCCTCCTGAGTGGGAGCGGGAGGTTCTCCAGAAGGCAAGGCCGGAGAAGTTAGGGAGTGAAATCCTCGGTGGAGCAATTCCTTCGAATCGCATCTGTTCATTGCCACTAGTTCTTCGGCCTCTCGCCTCTGCTCTACGCTGCGACTCAGCTGCAGCTTCTGCACCAAGGACTGTCGTCTGCTGGATGCCGCTGTCTGCATCGCTCTGAGATCTTGCCATCTCTCGGACATAACCATCATCTGGGCCGGCTCCTTCTCCTGAGCGACCCCTTCCGGCGGCATCTGGAGCAAAAGGGCCCTCTTCTTGACACACAGTCCCCGTCGTAACGGAGATGACTCCATAGAGAAAAATCACCCACCGCAAGGCTCGAGACAGAACCGCGGCAGAAGAGATACGTTTCTGCTTGCTTTTACGTGTCCCTAATGCACCTGCACTTGCACACTCCGGACGACAGGCAGCTTCCGAAAACCCTGCACACTCACTCCTACAGGCAGTCTCCGAAAACCCTGCGCACTCACTCCTACAGGCAGTTTCCGAAAACCCTGCGCACTCACTCCTACCGGCAGTTTCCGAAAACCCTGCGCAAACCTTCACTGAAGCAGCTTCCGAACCACAGGCTCTCACAGTACTCTGAGGCGTTGGCGGCAAAGGCTCTACACTCACACATGCACTCGCACTCCTACCGCTCCTACGGCATGCTTCGGTGTGTGTGGTGCTTGCTTGCTTAAGCGAAACGGCTGCGGACGAAACACAGACTTCAGAACCTACCACACAACCCGCACACAGCTCTTCAGAACAAACTGCAGGCACTACCTCAGTCTCAGCTGCTACTTCTGCTGCAGAAACACACTCGCACGAAAACTCACTGCAAAAGGCTCGCAACAAGAACTTGAAAGGAGTCACTTCCAAAGCTCTCTGCGGATGCTTGTTCGGATGCGCCTTCTCCTTGGCGCGGTCCACTTCCATTGCATCTCCCGTGTCGTCGTCTTCTTTCCCAAACTTCGGTGGGGTACCTTTGGGCACTCCTGCTTTGGACTTCGCTTTCGCCTTAGCTCTCGCGGGGCCGATCTCCTGGGCCATTGCCCACCAGCTCCTGGCTTCCGTCTCTAAGGGAACCCAAACCCAGGAACCCTTCCCATTCTGCTTCATCAAGCAACTCTCTCCGGGTGTGGCAGTGAACCAAGAACACCAACCCGAAAGCGACGCCTGCCAAGAACTGATCACATTGAAACCAATCTGACAAACCAGGACCTTCTGAAGCACTACAGGCCCTAGCCTCCCAAACTTCACACGGATATCGACCAACCCGAGGCATTCCATCTCGGTGTCGCTAGCACTCATCAAGACAGGCAGCGGTCCCGAATGCTCCTTCACGACTTCGTAAAACGACAAAGAAGCAACAGACAACACGTGGCACGTGGCTCCACTATCAACAAGCCACGCAAAGTGACTGTTCCTCGAAGAGGACTGGTTCAGCTTCTCTACTTCCTTATCCGTCATGGTGAGACGTGGGGGCTCAGCATCATTGGGCTCATTCTTCACTGCTTTCCCTGGGCGCATGCCCCTGAGACGATGAAATCTCAAGGCCATCACTTGCTCCGACGGCTCGTCTTCAACAGCGCGTCCCTTGGACTTCGCTTTCGGCTTCGCCTTTGGCTTTCCCCACTTTCCTTTGTCCTTGCCCTTCTCGCCCTTCTTGTCGCCTTTGCCCTTTCCTTTGGGCTCGCCTCCTCGACCGCCACCACCAGAGGGCTTTCCACCCTTGCCTTTGTCTTTGTCTTTGCCTTTTCCTTTGCCACCCTTCGGTGGTTCAGGACACTGCCAACTGTAGTGACCAGCCTTGCCGCAGTTCCAACACAAACCCTTGTCACCAACAGCGTGAAGGGCTCCAGCGTCGCAAAGCCTGGTCTGTTCCTCAAAGAACCGGATGCTCGTCACAAGCTCTTCCCAAGTTCCAGACTTGCCGTGCAAAACAACGTAATGCCGGCACTCAGGGTTGACAGATTGAAGCAAAATGGTTAGGCGATCCGAGCCGCCGGGCTTCAGCTCCGGAAAACGATGGAGCTTCTGATCCACTTTGCCCAGCTCATCCTCCAAGAACCGGACCACATCAAGTGGCCTCTTGTAGGTTCGGGCTCTGGCAGGCAACTTCAGGGCCTCATCTCTCACTGCAATTGCCTCCATTCTTGAGACAATGCTGAAAGTCGCATGCATTTGCCGCATGACTTCGTACCCACAAGCAGCTTGAGCTTGCCGCATGGACGTGCTTCTCACAAGCTCCATGCCTCTCTCAAACTTCTGCAAACTCTGTTGAAGGTAGTAAAACAACCGAGCAGACCTCGAAGCCACAGGAGCAGACATCTCTGACTGCTTGATCTCCCTGTTGTGCACCATTGCTTGGCGCAACTCGTTGACGTAGTTGTCGTCTATGAGCGCCAACCATGACGCCAAGACTTCACACCAACGGTGGTACTCTTCCAGCTCTTTCACACGCCCTTTCCCCATCGATGGAGCGTCGATGGTGGGCAAAGCAGGGAGGTACTTCTCAGCTCTGTTGCTTCCTACGTGCACCGACGGACCCGCAGGCGCTGGAGGTGGAGGAGCAGTAGCTTTAGCTGACGGACTTCCAGCCGCAGCCGTCGAACCAAAGGGGTCAGCTACAGCTGCAGAGGCAGCCTCAGCTTCTCGCCTTCTTCTCTCATCTGCGTCCATCCTAGCCATCATGACCTGGAGCGTCTGCTGTTGCATCTGCATCATATTCAGCATCAACTGCTGCAGCTGTGGGTCCAAACCAACTGTCGTCGTCACTGCAGGTGGAACCGGTGCTTGCTGTGGCACTGGCTGCGGTGCCTGCTGCGGTCCAACAGTCGGGACAGGCTGAGGTCCTGGGTTCGACGGCTGACTCGCCTCTCCAGGACTCGGACCAAACAGTTCAAAGTCGTCCTCCTCAGGCACTAGGGTCGCGGCACTTTGGGCAGGGTCAGCCATGGCTTCTCTACAGCTACGAGCGTGCTACACACGCTCCGCTACCATGTGAAAACACAGCAGCAGCGCGCTGAACCCTCTTTTTCTCACGGCTTGAGCCAAAGTCAGCAGCCGGAGGCTTTGTCTGTGCAACTGGCCACAGATATTCCATGTGCCATAGCACTGCAAGTGAAACACTGCTCAGCCACGTGTTCTCCACAACTGCAAAACAAACTCAAACGTCAGTGGGAGTTCTCGGGACCTACTCAAAACTAGTGCAAGCAGAACTACAGCTACACAGTCACTCCAAACGTAGTACACCAAGGAAAAACACTTCCCTACACTCTCAAGCACTTCAAAAGGCTTTCCACTGAAAGCAAGCTCGTCAGTCAAGCCTCCAAGGTAAAACTTTCAGCTAAAACGACTCACACCTGAGCAGGCATGCGAGACAACCAAAGTAACATGTCTTAAACATGAACTTTCAGAGTTTTCTGAGTGTGTCGGCGCAACAGCTCCCGACCTTCATGTCAGGCATTCGCACAATGATCGCAGTTTTGCTTAAATTGACATGCAATCCGAACTGTTCAAGGAAGCGCATCAAGAAAGCCTTGCCTAGTGTGAAAGATACGGCTCCACAGAAAAGTCGTCGGCATACAATTGTAGATCTTCATCCGGATCAATGATTCAAGCCGGTATGTAACGTTGCAGGTAAAGCAGGACCTCACCCCCTTTCCGTGATGACCCGCAGGTTGATATGTCCATGTTGCAAGTGGTAAGAGAATCAGTGAGCCAGGCAAGAATGATTTTCACATCAGATTCCCGAACCCCTGCCGCCAACCGAATCCGGATGTGCACCCTGGGTACTGCATCAAATGCCATGACAACATGAGATCTCCGGAGTACTGGCGGGTCACTGAGGCAAGACCAGCTTCAGGCTTGAAAAGTGGCTCAAACCGGGTCGCCAAAACCGGCGTTTGGCTCACTAAGTCCGTCTGCTTGCAAGTGTGGGGGGCCACCATTTTCGATCCAAACTGGTCTGCAGGTCGTACAGGTGACAGAAGAGCTAGAAAACTTGAAGCGCCAGAAAGCAGAGCTCAAGCGGGCGGTCCGCCAGGCAAGATACTGTAAAACTGTCGAAACATTTGTTTCCTGTCAAGCAAGCAAGCCAGAACGCCAGAAACTTGCAGAAGAAGAATTGCTTAATGCAGCATGCTTCGCAACAGGCCGCGCGGGGCTTGAGCCTCCAGGATCTGCGCTTGTTGCTAGGCAGGTGTGTGATGCTGTAAGTGTGTGTCTGCCTCCGTGTCTGCCGTCTCTACATCGTCAACCATGCATGCCGGATGCGCGCACGCAAGATCTCCCTGTACCACCTGCGCCTGTGCCGCCCGTCGGCCGAGCCGAAGCTGCTGCTGAGCGACGCTAGTTTTGTAGAAAGTTGCGCAGCAATGCGTGCTTACCACGTTGGTGCCAGCGCAAGCTTCTCTTAAAGAGACCTTGCACTTGTCGCAGCGACGCCAGCAGTGCGTCAGTGCCGGCTTGAGCACCGGAAGGGCGCAGTTTCTAAAATTGCTGCATGTGCTTGCTGATACAGTTTTACGTGGCACTGTAAGCCCTTCGGTCCCTGCTGCTGTGGGATTCGTCCTGAGATTGTAAGCCGTTATTTGTTTGTGGTGCTTTTGCCCGCTGCTTAGGTTGTTTTTCTGTGTAGTTTGTGGTTTTTCAAGTGGTTCGTGCCTGTAGGACGTGGTCTGAGCACCTGTTTTCGAATGCTTGGGAGCTTTTGCCGTGTTTGCAACTACTGTCGTTGGCTCAAGACACGTGGACCAGCAGTGAGTTGTGAGTGCAGAAGTGAGAACTGTCCGAGTGTTGTGAGTTTGCTTGCAGCACCGCACTCTAGCAGAGTGCCTGCTTTTTCTGTCGGAAGCACGTCAGCCGAGAATGCCAAGAGGCAGTGAACCACTGAAAATCCGAAAACGTCGCGAACAGCATCTCTGCGAGGCGCTAGTTGTGTGTTTGTGTTTCAGTCAACTGTGTTTTCTATGTAGTGTCCAAGTATCTGTTTGATCGGCACTGCTTGTGGCACTAGCACCCCAAGAACGACGCAGGCTTTCCGAGAACGTAGCTGCAAGACGAAGCATGCTGTCCGATTTAGCGGTGGCAAAAAGCACGGACAAAAACACACAGATGCATGCTGCTACTGTGCAAATGCAACAATGTCGATGATAACGCGTATCTGCAAGACGATGCAGGTTTGCCGGCCAGAAGGTAGACGACAATTTGTCTCAGGCTTTGAGGCCAACAGCAGAGCAGCAGAAGTTTTCGGGAGCCTGGCCCAAAGTCGAAGCCAGGGAATTGCGGAGTTCTTAGCTTGCACGGGAAACAGCCACACGAGATGAGCAAATGTTCAGCACTGTTTGCGGTTCTAACTTCCCTTGTGGCAGCTGTAAGGGTTGAGTTCGGCCATGCCGTGCTCTGCAGCGTCGGTTGCAAAAAGGGCTTTGGTGGTGCTGCTCAACTCCTTGGCAACCGTGTACAACCTCAACACAAAGTGCTCTCGTGATGCTCCTCACGCACAAGTACTGGGCATGTTCCGCAAGGTAATTCTCAAAGTTCATCCCGACAGGGGCGGTTCTGTACGAGACCAGCAGAAGTTGAATGATGCGCGACACCGGTGGGACCAGGCACGGAATCAGGCAAAGGCTAAGGCGAGACCAAAGACGCGGCCATCATCAACTTCACCCGGGGTGCCTTCACTAGCACTTGCATCAGAGCCCACACCAACTCGGAAAGAGTTTCGCATTCACTCCTCAGCGGCTCTTCTGACATACTCAGGCATCAAGGAGATGGGAATGTGGCACCGCCTGAACGATCACATCGTCTCCTGTATGAATGCATGGACAGTGAAGCATTGGTGCTCCACCTTGGAAAGTTCTTCCGACGGACAGACTTGGCACGCTCATGTTATGCTCCAATTTCGTGCGGTGGTTGACAGAACCTCCGCGTCTTTCGTCTTTGAAGACATCCGTCCCAACATTCAACCCACGGATCTGTGTGGTGAAGGTCTTTGCAGGAAAAAGCTGCAAGCCTCCATCAACAGAGGGTTTTTCTACACGTGGGCGAACAAGGAGGGCACCCAAGTTGACAACGGTGAGCTTTGTGTTGCAGGGAATTATGCTCCTTGCTGGACCAAGGAGCGCTTCAAATATCAAGTGATGGGAGCTTGGGTCGACACGCTATGGAAGCAACGCAAAATATCCAATGCGGTCTATCGAGAATATTTGTATTTGACCCGGGACGGAGTCGTTTCCAGGAAACGCAACTTCGATGAGGTCACTCGTGAAGAAGAGCGGTTGGAGCTGACGGCTTTGATTGCTCAGAACACCCAGCGCATCAGATCCGATCCAGCATTGTATCGTCCTTTTCCCGAAGTGCCTGAGGTGACGACATGGTTGCAACAGTTCAATGTTGATGCTTTGAGATATCCCATTCTGTTGCTTCTGGGACCATCCATGTGCGGAAAGACGGAGTATGCTTGCTCCCTGTTTCAGTCTCCGTTGCAGCTGAAAATAGGCAGCCTTCTGCACTTCCCTGACAAGTTGCGCTCCTTTGACCGGAAGATCCACGACGCAATCATTCTAGACGACATTCGCGATTTAAAGTTTCTGTCGGAAAACCAGGATAAAATTCAAGGCAAGTATAGCACGGAGATGGAGTTCGGCATCACTCCGGGTGGCCAATGCAACTATGAGAAATATTTGTTTCGCGTGCCCATGGTTGGCACGTTGAATTACTCGACTGCTAACTTGCAGTTTCTGGACTCACATGATTGGCTGTCGAATCCCGGCAACCGAGTCGTCGTGCACATGCGCCAGCTGTAAACAGATAAGTCGGTCTGGTTTGCCTCGCGTCTGCGCCAGCTGTAAAGCGGAAGGGCTTTCACTCCAATGATTGCCACAGGCCCCCCCCCCCCCCCCCCCCCCTGACTCCTAGCACCCATCTTCATGTTCCTACACAAGCTTGTGGAGTAGCCGTCGTTCCTCCGCCCCCTGTTCAATAGTAGTACTCCTAGCACCCATCTTCTGTTCCTACACAAGCTTGTGGAGTAGCCGTCGTTCCTCCGCCCCCTGTTCAATAGTAGTACTCCTAGCACCCATCTTCTGTTCCTACACAAGCTTGTGGAGTAGCCGTCGTTCCTCCGCCCCCTGTTCAATAGTAGTACTCCTAGCACCCATCTTCTGTTCCTACACAAGCTTGTGGAGTAGCCGTCGTTCCTCCGCCCCCTGTTCAATAGTAGTACTCCTAGCACCCATCTTCTGTTCCTACACAAGCTTGTGGAGTAGCCGTCGTTCCTCCGCCCCCTGTTCAATAGTAGTACTCCTAGCACCCATCTTCTGTTCCTACACAAGCTTGTGGAGTAGCCGTCGTTCCTCCGCCCCCTGTTCAATAGTAGTACTCCTAGCACCCATCTTCTGTTCCTACACAAGCTTGTGGAGTAGCCGTCGTTCCTCCGCCCCCTGTTCAATAGTAGTACTCCTAGCACCCATCTTCTGTTATACACAAGTGTGGATAGCCGTCGTTCCTCCGCCCCTGTTCAATAGTAGTACTCCTAGCACCATCTTTGTTCCTACACAAGATGTGGAGTAGCCGTCGTTCCAATCCGCACCCCCTGTTTCAATAGTAACAATAGTCCTAGCACCCATCTTCTGTTCCTACACAAGCTTGTGGAGTAGCCGTCGTTCCTCCGCCCCCTGTTCAATAGTAGTACTCCTAGCCCCCATCTTCTGTTCCTACACAAGCTTGTGGAGTAGCCGTCGTTCCTCCGCCCCCTGTTCAATAGTAGTACTCCTAGCACCCATCTTCTGTTCCTACACAAGCTTGTGGAGTAGCCGTCGTTCCTCCGCCCCCTGTTCAATAGTAGTACTCCTAGCACCCATCTTCTGTTCCTACACAAGCTTGTGGAGTAGCCGTCGTTCCTCCGCCCCCTGTTCAATAGTAGTACTCCTAGCACCCATCTTCTGTTCCTA